CAAGATGCGTTATGTAAAGGTACAATTCCCAATGAGAAATGTAATTGTGTTGTATACCTACAATGTACCAATAAAAGAATTTAATAAATAAATAACTAAAAAATACATGTCTCCTTTGGAAGACTCCTGAAGACTCCTTTGGAGAGCTCCTGCACAAGCCTAGTTGCTCACAAACTTCCATTTCTGATATCCAAAGCAGATATCCCTCATCAACAGTGTCAAAATCTAAGCATAAGAAATACCCTCACATGGCATTTCAGCGACCTCACTGCTAAGGTAGAAATCACCACAATAATGCTACAGTGAATGAGTCCCAAGATGGGAGAGGAAGATGTACGCTCAGGACACAGCCTGTTTCCTTGCTAGACAGTCCTGGGGGAAGAAACACTGTTCCACATTTTACTGCTGTTGGCTTCAGTGAAGGATCAGAAGATGTGAAGTCTCTGGTTAAGATGTGTTCCTTCCTTCAACTACCAAAGTAGAAGCCAACTGTGAGAGTCCAAACTGAGTCAACAGCAAAGCCATCAGCAGCCATGGGAAGAACAGGGCCAAGAAAGCTCAAGAAACCAGACAGCCAAAAGTAAGAAGTGAACAGGAAACAGTCTGAAAGATCCTGGTGTAAAAGGCAAAGTAGATGAATTCTGAGTGGGCTTGGTTTCTTTTAAAAACGAAAGATTCTCTGTTGGAATAGCCCAGCACTCAGCTCCCATGCCAGAGTCAGCACCAACCAGTATGGAAGTAAATGAGGGCAAGAGTGGAAGCAGAGACCATTCAGGAGGTTACTGTGGTGGCCAAGTAGAAAGCTGAGGGAAGGTGTGCTCCAAGTGAAATAGAGAAAAAGAAGATGTATTCAGAGCACGTGTTAGAATTAGAGTCAACAAGACTTTTTATGGGGAAGAGGAAGTGGGAGGGGTAGGGAAAAAGAAAGGGAATGGAATATGAGAAAAAGAAAAACTGGAAACAAAGTCTTTGTAGATAGGGAGAGGTGGAGGGGTTGAAGGGAGGGCAGGGGAATGGGGAAAAAATAAAAACCAAGATGGATTATGTAAAGGTGCAAATTTCCAATGATGAATGTCATTATATTGTATACCTTAAATGTACCAATAA